TGCCCATTAGCGCACCCATCCACTTTCTCAACAGCCTCATACACACGTCCAAATGGGTCAACAAACATCACCGGATCAGATTGAATAACACGGCCACGCTGCAGAAAAAGCGCACGCATCTTCTAATTCCTACGTTCGGACTCCACCTTCATAGTAGGTGGGGCCAGGGTTGCTTCTTGATTGCTCTCTTTTCTTCTTCAGATTTTACCTGAACCCTTGAGGATAGGTATGGCTACCTCAGAATGCATTGCCTTCTCTGCCTTTCTCCTCTTTCTGCAAGTCGCATCGGAATGACCCTGAAGCCTGCAAATCTAGCAGAACGCTGGCAAAGTTTCATAGATTATTTCTTGGCACCAGCTGGATGGGTGGAAAGGAGAACCAAGCCAAAAGGATTTAGGTGGAGGTTTAGAGATGTCCATCTCAACACAAATACGATCTCCATCAGTGCGTGATGCACAGGCGGTGAAGTTGTCTCTCTTCAAAAATCGTCTAAAAGCGCCACCAATCACCCGTAAGATGGATTCATGATAATAGTGAGGCGGAAGTCCTGGTAGAAATAACCAGACAGGTGCCAGAGTGGATTCTTGATCCTCATTGAAGTCTGGTGGCCAAATGAAAAGACGATATGGGGAGCCATCAATATTCGACGATTCTCTTGCGCAAGCTATCCCGAAATCTTCCTCTGTCGTTAGGCAAACAAAAACATTACGTGGCTTTTGCATGATACTGACTGCAGCCGAACCCTTCAAGCCCCAACGCGCCTTAATAAAAATGCGAATCTGATCCAAACTAGGTCGTCGTTTGAGGAACTTCAGAACCACTGAAAACCTGAACGGAGAGGCAGCTCTGTCGAACTCCCCTTTTGAAAAATGAAACCAAGTTTCTCCATCCTTTTCATTTGGCGAGCGCATCTCGATATCAACCTCCGGGATAGGTTGAGGCTTTGTTTGTACCACAGATGCGTAGGAGGCAAGCCCCGCAGCCACCTTAAAGGGCGGCTTAGGAGGAGGCGCTGCCGCCATCAGCAAAATTCTGGAGCCGGGACACAGATCTGTAGGGTTTGGGTACTTTCCTCACGAGAGGTTACGTGAAGGAAATCTTTTAGGTTGTGCCAAGCTTGAGGTGGTTAGTGTTAAAATTCAAACATGATGTGGTTATCCTTATAGTAACAAGCAAGCATGTGGTGTCAACGTGTAGTAACTAGCAAGC